TATTCAACATCGAGAGTTCGTATTTATGATCTTATACATTATGTTATACTCTCCGAAAGAGATAATCAAAACATAATCTTGTTTTATCTTTCTAAATGGAGGGAAACCCGAGATTCCCGAACATCAACTTGGATTCTCATGAGGAATGAGCTCAATATTGTCTTTCTTCAAGATCTTTCAAGAGGGAAAAAGATTCGGAGGAGACATTGCTCCACATTATTGTTTCGAGTCTTGACCCGAGGTTTCAATGGGGTTGATTGGGATCGAATCGTGTCGATGTTGCCATATGGGATTTGACTTATTGTCTATTTGCGCCCGAAAGTCCAATCCCTCGGCCAGTGATGATGCCGAGGACTCGTCGGATTAGAAACTCCGGAAGTCTTTCATGCAAATCATAAGCTTCCATAAGGGCAGAGAGAGACAGATAGAGAGAGAGAGGTACAGGTGTGCATCAGGCCATACGCTTCGAACTACGCTCCGGACGTGGAATTTACGTGGAGCGACCCTCGTGCGTGTCATCCCACTTACTTTCTCTGTGTCAAACTTCCATGCAACATGGAAGTTTGCATGGAAGTTCGACAACCAAGGGCATGCGGGTGACATACAGAAGGTAGAATCCAGATAGAGGTCTATCCGATTTAGAAGCATGTCATCGCATGATCTAAAATGGTTCTAGCGCTTTACATCCAAAGTATGGTCTTTTACAAGTGGAGGCGTGCGGGTGCCCTAAGGAGGTTATATAAGGATAGAGCTCTATCCGAATTAGAACGATGTCACCGTCTGCTCTTCGCACCCAAGCACTTAGGTGTCGGATTGTTCTTTCCTTTGCCTTCTTATCCGGAGAACAAGATGTCAAAAAGGTCCTGCACATGACGAGTCTGCTTACCCTCATCGAAGCAAAGAAAACCTTGCCCCCCGTTATCCACTCGGCCCCTCATTACATCGAAAGAAAGAAAAGCCGGGATCAGCTCACCACCAAATTGATTTAATAGACGGTTTTGGCGAAGCCTTTCTGATCATACGTGAAAGATGCGAAGACAATCACGAGTCACTTCTTCACGTCGTGCTCAAGTGTTTAGGACCTTCGCACATCCAGTAGTGGTATCGGGTAATCAGAAGTAGGACATCAAGAGATATCGGAAGAAGGATGGGAAGGCCCCGTCTATCGGCTGATAATCGACCTCTTCGATTCCATTGCAGGTAACGACAGGAGCATGTCACCGAAGAATTAAGGAAAAAAGAATCGTTGAGTGATCATTTTGAGCAGTTTTAGCTTAATTAGGTCCTGATTACGCCAACCCTACCGAAAATCATTACTCGAATTGTGTCGCGACGGAATCTTTCTTCGAGCCAGTGGTTCACCAGAGAGCGCGTTCTCGGATTCTTCTTATAGAGCCGAAATAATGCTTTGGACAGCGGTTACACCAAACAAATAATCGGGGGGTTCTCGCCGATTATTCACTCGACCCAGACACGACGTCCGCCCGCACGTGGCGATGCAACGCTAGAAACCATCGACCGCTCGATGAAGTCGTGCCTGCCACAAGAATGAATGTCGCTCGGAGAAGAACCGCTACAAGGGGAGGGAGGGAGGACGGGACGCAGATTCAACGGTCTCGAGGCAGGAAATCACGAGGGTCCGACGTCGGGTCCGGCTGGGGAGACGGAGAATTCAGCGCATTATTGAAACGGGGCATAATTACGGAAAAGCAAATCGAGAACGAGGTCGAGGCAGAAACGAGGCTTCGCTTGTGGCGCACAACTCCAAGAGATGCGCGAACAACGTGGTGACACGGCGGATTGAATGACCGCCATGCGAGCCCGGTCCTTTCAGAACGTCGATCGAAGAAGATGCCGAGCATGTAACAACAGAACCGAATGCGATCGCCTCGTCTCCTGGAGGCAGATCGGGAGGACGGATTCTCAAGTCAAACGCGGCAGAAATCCCCGAACTGGAGTCCGGACAAAAGCTTCGAGCGCGTCCCGGAGATCCCGAAACCTCCGCCGTATCCCTAACTGTCAAATATTCGCGACTTCGCATCGACGTCAAACTCCGGAGATTCGATTCTCCGTCGCCGAACTCTGTTGCCGGATCCGGCCCCCGTGTATGCTCGGAATCTCGACAATACGACAAAAGAGAGCGCGCTTCGCGACTCGAGCGGAAGAACGGGAGCGCGCAAAGACAGAGATGTTGACTGAGAAGCGAAAGGGCGTCACGAACTGGTTCGTCGGGCGCGTCCTCTTTTGCTTCAACGTGCGACTTAAAGTAAATTATCCGGAAGTGATCGAGCCTCTGACTCGTTCGTGACCGTTTCCGCGGGAACGCAAGTGGACGACGCCTCGCCCATGCGTCCGTCCAAACGCGACGCTGTGCGCGGACCGGCCCGCGGTCTACCGAGACCAGGGTTCCCGACCGGGCGGGCGAGCGAGCGGGCGAGCGGGCGGGTTCTAGGAAAGGAGGGCAGGGGAGTTCCCAGAGTCCCGAGGCAAATGAGCTCCCCGCTGCCCGGCTGCCAAGACGCGGTCTGCGGGGATAGATTCGCAGCCCGACTCTGGGTCCATGTGTCATCTCCTGGTTGACGGCACGTCTCATGTGAAGATGGCGGGAAAACAGACGATTGGGATACGGTTCTACGTCTCATCCAGCGGTTAGGAACCGATCCCGCGTTTGCCGCGTGGCCGTCTTCGAGCGTAACCGGGAGCTTGACCGCGCGCGTCACGGAGCTCCAACCACCCACCCACCCGCTGCTGCTGTTCGCAAAACCACCCGCGATTCGATCTGGTCCCGCCCGGTCTCGGACCTCTGCCCCGCTCGGTCAAAGGTAAAGCTCGGGCTAAAGGCCAGGCCCCTCCTGCTTCCTTTCCATCGCCGGCCCTGCCCATCTGAACATCCCGCCCCGCTTTCCCGTAGGCCCGGCTCACGCCGCCGTTAGAACGGGCGCGGGTCGCTTCCGTGGCTCGAACGGCACTGACCAAAAGTCCACTCTCTTTCCTGTACCGGCGTATACCAATTGGTCTACAACTCCGACGCTGGACGAGCAGCGATTTGCATTTAACATAAAACGCTGGAGCCGGCGGAGACGTCTTAAGAGCCGACGAGACCCCGACTGGACTTCGGGACCGTTTCCGTCCTACTCTCGAATATCATAAATGCAAGTCCCGGCTCCGGTGGTGGGGCCTCGGAAATAAAGGCAATCAATCGGTCGACTTTAGTTCGGCCTGTGCCCGAGCTTAGGCCGAGCTATGAAGGGAAGGAAGGAGCAGGAGGGATGATGGATGGAGTGGGGATGGCCGGCCCTGCTGCTTTTTCCGCACGTCGTCAACACTCCTCCTCCGGCGAGTTTTATGGGATAAGATCGACAGCCTCGAGCTTCCATTATTATATCACGGTAATATCTCCCTCTCCCTCTCCTCTCCATCTTCACGGCCGCCGGACGGACAGAATCGGTCGAGAACCGTAGCCGCATGGAATGTGTCATTGCACGTCACTTTGTCGGTCGTTTAATCGATGGACGTCCGTTCGCCCGGTTTTGCGTTGGATCCCCACCGGGCGAGGCTGAGATATGCCGGTACAGCCGGGGCCCAGGTACCTCATCCGCTGTTCCTGTTCCAACTATTGCCGCATAGTTCTCCACCTCTGCGAATCCTACTATATGCGTTGACGGGAGCTGATTTCTCCAGAACCGGTATCGACTAGTGCTCCAACTAATCTGGAATATTTTCCGGGCCGCAGCGATTTCTTCTGACTTGCGACCTCATTCCGGGCGGAAAGCGACCTACTCAATAACTATTATCCGCAGCGCTTATCCTAAGCTAAACTCGAATTTTACGATCGGGAGATCACAGACCGGTGACACGGACGGGGGCCTGCCGAAAAGAATCTGAATGAGTTCGTGCTATTTCGGGGGAGCTACAAAAAAGCTGGGACTAGAATTAGGGTTCGCGGATGGGCGGGCAACAAAGAGACGCGGCAGGAGAATTTTTTTAAGGCCTCCACCGCTCCCCTCGACGGCAAGTCCCGTTCCAAGTCAGCGGGTTCGACGAGGACGCGCAGAGCGGGAGGAGGGCATGGGGCTGCGACTGCGACTGGGCCCTACTGCTTTTGGCCTTTTACGAGGTCTGGACCCATGCAGGTGGGCGGAGTTGACCCCGCGTCTGGGCAGGAAAGGAAACAGGTGAGCGTGGGCCGGGCCGTGCGAGGTATGGGCGGACTCGCCACGCGTCGAGAAAGCGAGATTAGCATCGGAGGGCCCGCGGCAAGGCATATTTACAATAAAGCCGGCCTTTTATTATGTTGTCATTTGGCGCAGGGCCAGTGCCGGTGCGCCGCGTGGCTATTTCCACGTGACACTCCATGTCATACGATTCCCTTTCGGATCCGTATATAGGTTCGGTTTCTACATACGGAGTACGAACGACTATGCGGCCCTGACGCGGGCGTTGTCCGAGTGTCGGGTGCTTTCTAGAACTCCCATGTCCGTCCCCTGATCCCGTCAGAACCAAACCCTGCCAAAATCGCTGGGATTCGCCTGCCAGAAGAACTGACGTACGAAGATCGGTGGATGTAAATATGACGTGGCCGCCCTGCGCAATTCGTTTCGTTCGCGACGGATCCATTCGTCATCTCCACTCCGTTGATTCCTAACGTACTGTCCCCTGCACTGATCCCGTCTTTATGTTTATCCATTTGCATCTCCGCCCAAACCATTCCCTTCTTCAGCCCCTTTCCATTCAACAGACGATTCCTCAAAGATTCCGGATTCTCTTCTAACAGAATTCCGTCTAAATCCATTGGATCTCTTTAAACACTACAAAAGTTACAAAGGATGTATACAATTTCAAGCATTATCATTATTTCCTTCGTTTTTTTATCGTAATAAAGATGAAAGGGGGCCAAGTGGATAGCAAAAGTTTCACAAAATGTATGTGGAAAAGCTTCCAAATTTTTCTAGTATTGGTTCAAGTGCAAAATTCTAAATAAAACACACTTCTCTACGTACTTGTAATATTTTTTTTGATATAGCAGACAACTTGCATGTATTTAATTTTGTGGACATCTAATCCTTAGAGAAACTATATATTCCATTCTCTCGGTAGAGGTTGTCTTTTTCACTAGATATGCTGCCTACATAAAATATCTATCTATGTACACCTTCCCCCCATCCCTACTGTCTACCGTGGGCATAGTGACGTTTCTACTGCTGGCGTGGGTAGTGGAGAGTAAGGACGCAGCATTTGAGTACCTTGTTCTTTTGTGGGCTGAATGTACTGCCCTAGAAAATGACCTTTGGCATCGACGACAGAAGGATTCGTTCCTTCCACAAAATGGAGACGAGGATTCCACCTTCCATGGTGCAGAAATGGGTTTAGGGTGTATGACTTATTGGACACCAAGATCTCTAATTTCCAAAATTCCAAAAGTTCTTCTGGCTTTTCTTGTCGAGTGGACGCGGGGTTGGACTTTCGTGATTCATTTCTTGCAGAACTATTTTCCCATCAGCTCCATCAGACCACGCACTGATTCGCATGCCGGGGATAATGATCCACTGGAAGTCATCGAGGGCAACGCGAATGTCAGATCCAGGCAGGGACGGGGCGGAAGATCTCGAGTACAAAACAAACTACAACAGACATCCACTCACTCGTAGAGTCGGTACTCCCGGAACCTCATCGGATGCTTCCCGGCGCAGAACGACGAGTCCTTCTACCCAATCGATCCTTCCACCATGTTCATGCCAACCACCTCCCTTCGCTCCTTGTCTGTTCCTGCCCCGCGCACATCGTCCGAGTCCGACCCTGCGGTTGGCCTCGAGATCCCGAGGCGCTGTTGTATCGCTCCTGCTCGTGCGAGCGTCCCCGTCCCTTCTGATGGCGCGTTTGCTTCTCGTCTCCAATCCCGGCCCTTTGAAGCTTCCCTTGGTCCTATGAAAGGCCAAACTTGTTCGCTCTCCTCCTGCTCTTATTCGTGTCTCCAATGATGATGTCTTCACACCCATCTCGTGGGGCCGAGTAATAGACCAGAAAGGATTCGAGTAACCCGTGTAGTTTTACATGGAAGGAAGAATTGGGAAAGAAAATCGAGATGGTTAGATTAGGCTAACCTCAATGAAAAAATTTCTTGTTTTAACAAGTACAGAAGTTCATTCACATCTCTTTATCATTCATTTCAAAGATAGACATGTGTTCATTGATTGAGAAGATAACAAAGCTCTTGAGATAAGACAACTAGCCAAAAACCATACATGTAATGCAATATTCAATGAGTATTGACAAATAGTTTATTATAAATATTAAAATTTGCATGAAAATGGACAAAAAGTATTGATGAATACTAACAAATAAGTCTAGTTGATCCTATACAATCTCTATTGGATATTTTGATTCTGATTATTTTCAAATTTTCAGATCTTTCAACAAATATATAAAAATCAATATACAACATTTTTAAGTTATATTTTTCACATGAATTCTTATTTTTTGTGAGAGAAAATGATGAAAGATAGTGCATATTGTAGAACATGCATCCTCATGGCTAGCACAAATAAACCCAATTTTTTTTCCCACACATCTTCATACATCATATCTCTTTTAGAGTAATCTAATTAAAGAGCTTGAGTACTTAATATATAAAATGAAAAGGTCTATGCATCTCATATTTTGGAAATAAATATTGCTAATGTTTTCAAATCTATCATGAGCTCTTTCCTATCACTTTTTTGTTATGTTGATAAGGAAATTTCTTGAAATTGTAAAACAAATGAGCGGCTAGTTATCCTCAATTTAGGCTAATTATCTCTCACCCTACTATACTAGGGTGAGTGATAATTAACAACTCGGAGAAGAAATTCTGAGCCAAGTTAAGAGGGTCGAATTGACCTCCGGGGTAAATCGGGTCGCCCACCTCGCCTGGGGGTCCTCCCCCCACTATGTATCCCTCTCGATGTCTTCCATGAGCATGACCTTGCAGGCCTAGATGGCCAGAATGCTTTGCGCATGGACGAGGCAAGAGTTGCCGAGGTAGTTCAGACCTCCTTCAGATAAGATCTGCAATCCAGCCTTGAATCAAACTGCCTCGTCAAACTTCACTCCGTTCTTGGCTAGCAGCTCGGAGTCACACATCCCAAAGCTCCCAACATCACCTCTAGCTCCCGGTTCTTGACGAAGGTCTTGGTGTCGGCAGAGAGTCCGGCGGTGTTTTAACCGTAGTCACTGGGGAATTCACCAATCAAGTACGATGGGGTGGCTTCGTAGAACGGGGCCAAGTACTTGAGTCAGACCTCATTGTACATGAATCACAAACAAGCTTGCACGATTAGACACGGATCCAAGTTGACATGGATGGACCAGAGTTTAGGTTAAGGTATAGTAAGGTGATAGATAATTAGCTTAAATTGATGGATAACTACCTGCTCACTAAAACAATTGCGTTTTAGGTATCTTTCTTGTGTAGTATATGTTTAGTTTAACATAAGTAGATGAGCAAAAATTATGAGAACATACTATCAATACTATAATAGACTGAAATTTAATGAACAACATGTGTGTAGATTGAATAGTACACAATAAGTAACATTTGCACTCTGTATCTAGATCAATATATGAAATCAAACATGAAGATTTGATTTGAAAAAGTATACAATAATGATAATGTTACACTATGTATATCACTAGTTTGTGCAAAACTTAACAATAATATAAGAATAATAGAAAGAAAATGATTACAATTCAATGGGCAAAGCCGTAAGAATAATGGTTAGACTTTTGCAAACTTGCTGGAGGTACATATTGAGAATATTTCTTCTAGACAAATGAATTTCTGCTCATATTTGTGAAGCGGAAACGTGTCCAAACAATAGTCCACATTGACAGATTTAACGCGGGGATAGCTTGCGCAGACAGGATTCTAACTCAAGATTGTAAGGTGGTATATTTGGTACTAATGTAGACCAAACTATATCTTGTCAATTGATCTTCCTGAATTAATAGGATTCCAGCAGTAACGTTGAAAAACAAAGGCTTGCTGCTGTTTTAGGGGTGAACGATACTATCATCCCTCTTGTGTTGAACTCTTCATTTTCATACAGAATTCAGCTGCTTTTTCACGGAAGATGTCTGGCAAACGGACACCACACCTGAATTGGCAATATGAGAGAACTCCCATTATCATTTATTTTTTTAAAGGATTTATATTGCATTCCAGCCTTTATTTCCCATATATCGTCATAATCTCCGCTCATGACAAAAGTCAACATGCAAGCTGAAGACTCTTCATTCTAGACATACTTAGGGAAAAAAAATAACTTGCTATCATAACGAGAAGAGCAGTACATTCTTCCTCACCAATATATTGTGATGTCATACACTAAGAGTTCATTATTTCATAGAAGATTAAGATGGACGCTTGTGCAGCATACGCTCGTCATCATATAAAACGTCACACGCAATGATATGGCTGAAAAACGTGTTAAAACTCCTTCCTTGTAATTTATTAAAACCAAAGTTCATACTTTTTCCGACACCGAAATTGTTCTCTGAATCTCAATCATTCACTCCACGTAGAACTCGACAGGCTATCATTTCATGTACACTCATGTCTCCAACTTTCAAGGGGAATGCGCATAGAGTAAATTGAAATCAACCATTATCTGTATTTACTCCTGATGTATGACAACTTAAGGGCTCCATATTAATGGAGTACAATGATCACAACTAGGAGTGTGTGCGACTTTGAACCTTTTTCTATAGCAGTACATTTCATCAAACCTCACAGAGCGCCCATTAGAAATGGTGACAATAGAATTAGAAAGGTGGTACGGTCATTTATACTCAAGGTGCCATTTTAACAGGAAACACTGCCATGCACACCACTAACGACTTTGTCCCTTTTTCTTGCTACCGTGTAAACCACATGTGAATCAACATATTTAAAAATCGCAGCTGTACACACACACCAGAGCTTTTCGAAGATCTTCCAACAAACATATTAAATCATCCATCACCTACTCATTAAAATTCTGCCTGCATGTTTTCACCTGGTGGTGTATGGGTTCATGTGCAATGCATCTAACTACATGTCCATTCATTGATTCTCCGCCCATATGTTGATCTCGCGGAATAGAATTTGTTGCTTAGAAAAGTGGGAGAAATCAAATCCCATCAGATCCGAAGAGAATTTCCAAAGACCTAAGCAACCTCACGGTCAATCCGTTCAGTAATAATATATCCTTACCCTATCCACTCCTGCAGTACATCGCAAACAAACTCAATTATTCTCCGATTGCCTCATCCCCCAACCCCCCGCCCAACAAAACCTCCCACCCCGTTCACTAATCACAGAAATGGCCGCAGCAAAATACGGAGCTCGGTCATTCTCGTTGCCACCCTCTGTCCATCTCACAGGACGGACGGACTCTCCCAGGCGCCCACCACCCTCAGCACGGCGAAATTTATGTACGTTTAATGGTCTACGTATCGCGGTGGGCCGCACTGCGCCGTACAGTGTATGATTGTCAGCAACCGGCCTTCGACCGTCCGACTCCGTCTAAATGATGACTATCGTATATGAGACCCACTCCTCGAAGTGTCTAAGGCCGGAATCATTAGGAATGTCGTCATTTCGAGGTACAGAGGGTTCTGCCACGGGCGAGGGAAGGGAGGGAAGCGGGAGGGAGAGAGCGCCGTGATTGGGTCAGGGTCAGGTCCGGTGGACGGAATCATCGGGCGGGGTGGATAGCAGAAGTGTTCGGACAGAGATAGAGAGGTCATCCGAGCCAGGCGTCCGTAGGGAGGTTGGTTCGGGTCCGGTCGGTGTTGGTGGTGGGTCGGATCAGGGTCGGGCGAGTGATGAACCCTGACTGCTGCTGCGGCGTCTGAGTTGGCTCGGTTCATAAATTTTATGGTTGTTTAAGGGGGTTTTGTATCCGCTCGCCTCTCGATTTAGTCAATGGAGATCCAGTGAAGTGAACGGAGAAAGCGCCTTCGTGTCCGTCCACCTCCGTGCTCATAATCCCTTGTTCGAATTTAAAGTTTCACGAACTTCTGTAGCTAGGGTTGTGATTTCGTGCTCCATTTGGGGGGAGAATCTTATGGAATAGGGAATAAATAGAAAGTAGAAAAACATTAATAAAATTAATCCAAGGGTTTCTTAGACAGGACAGGCTCGTATTGCGTGATTTTCAAGAGTGGACCACTTTGCATATAATCTCAGAAACGTAAGGAAAGCGCAAATAAGACCAAATATAGAGAATTGTTCAAATTTTAAATCTGTGTACCCACATTTTTTTAACGCTGATTCTGGTATATGAACATTAAAGGGGGCTTCGCAGTACCAGCCAATTTGATTACTCCTTTGTACCAAGATCTGGTCCCACGGCATTGAACCAAAGGAAATTGCATTACGCTTCCGTGATTGGTTTCATCTAGGAAGTGCAAATTAATGCTGAATTCCGTGGTGTCAGAAGTCAAAGCTTCTCATAGGATGTGCAGATAATGCCCTTCCATGAGGACATTTAGTACGACAACCTGACATTTTGTGATACAATAAGAGTGCCCGGCCACAAAACATATGCATCAGCCAAGTAAATACTACAAAATTAGCAACGGAGTAAGAAATTCTTTAGAATAAAAAATAATTATGTCCTCTTGTTGAGATGGAAGAATGAATTACACATGTGAAATTAGGAGGAAAGGTAAGTAACAATCATCTTGAGAACAACACCTATGCATCCAAACTTCCATCTCATACATGTTTCCATAACATTAATGTGAAATTGGGACGTGCTTATTAGAATTATAAGTTAGGATGGCAATTAATTCAGCCTTTCTCATTCAATAAGACATATAATTTTATCTTTTATACTAGAGTTCATTCTCGTATGAGACATCTCAATACTTATATATTTAAGATTTTTTTATGATGCATAAATTTTATTGCGCTGGAAATAAATTTTTATTTTTGAAATAAATTTTTAAATTCTTATCCTTTGCGAAAATTAAT